CTGTGTGGGTCTTTCATTTACAAATTTATACATTTCTTAATACAGATTTGTCTTTTGTAAATATATTAAGAAAAAGAACACAAAAATTTTGAATATATATGTTTTATTTAGTTTGAAAATTCATTTACACAGTAAAATGTGAAATATTAACTATCAACTCAACATTTTATTTTTACCAGATAAACACTCTGCAATAATCAAGACCCAAATTAAGAAGAATGATATTTTTTCTTCCAGAAACTCATTGTGATTTGGGATATAATTCATAAGATTTTCAAATTTTAATCAATGAATAATAGATTATATATTCTGCTTCTTCATTGGTTTAATATTTAGTTTGTAGGATTAGTCAATCATTGACTTATTGTTAATTTATTTATTTTCATTGCTGTAGTTCATATGTGATAATACTACCATTTATTGCCTATGATGATGTTTATGGATATTTGGGTTGTATTCAGTTTGGGAATATTTTGATTGGTGCTTCTCTGAGTATTCTTGTGTCTGTCTTTAGGTTAACATAGTTGGATATTATATTAGTTTATGATCCCATCCACAATGGGACAGTTTCAGTCACTCTCCATCCTTGTCAGTACTTGATATTATCTCCTTTTCATTTAGACCATTCTGATATTTATGCAGCACTGTCACATTTATATACAGCATAAGAAAATTGTGAAAAATTGCATGTATAAGAAAATTGCATTCTTTTTAACCTTACAAAAATAGAAAATAATAACTAATTTTAATAAGTTATACTCCATTCAAAGTATTTTAGATGTCCTATTTTGCAGTAGTTTTCCTTATTTAAATGATAATAAGAATAGCGATGCTGGAATACTTAATAGTACTATAGCTGGAATTGAGATTCTTGATCAATTATAATTCTGATAATTTTTACCTAAATCTCTCTAATTTTTCAACTGTGTTATTAACTATGATAATTAAGAACAAAAACAAAAGGCAAGAAGTTCCTCTGACTAAAATTTAACTATACTCCTGTATCTTAAAAGAAAGTTTCCTGATTTGTAAATAAACCAGAATGTGAATCAGTTCATAGCTTAAATGAAATTACGAGATGCTTCTGTTTCCATTGCCTGCATTATATTTGTGTTTCTAAAGAAACATAGGAAGGCCATATGTCATTCTGTTAGTTTTTTCTCAGACTGCCAACATCTGTTACTTTAGATTTTAGCAAGCACCATGTAACTGCTTGCTGAGGAGAGTTTTGAAGGAAATTGTACATCTCTTCTTAAACAATGGAGGCTTTGTAAAGGTTGTAATTAGAGGGAAAAAATACTCTGCACCAAACTAATCCTATCTTTAATGTATATTAGCTGGATTCAATAGTTTTCATTAGTAGCTGTTAAGTGATTGTATTTTGGAGTTCACATTTCCTGATTTCAGATCCTTCCTTGTTTTACACTTTACAAATGGCATGGCCTTTGAATAGTTACTTAACCTATTTAGATCCCAGATTCCCAAGCTATATAATGGATATAATTATAACACAGATATTACAAGGTATGTTAGGATGAGTTCTCCAAAAGAAAGGTATTAAAAAGAGGTTGAGCAAGTATGTTTGATTGGGTCTTGTAAGATAAAGATATTAGTTTTAGAAGAGTCTATATTTTCAGTATAAATATTTTACCTGGAAAAGCATTACAGCTTCACTATTGGGGAGAATCCCTGTAAGACATACAGAGGGTTAGCTGTGTAAGGCTGAAGGAGCTGTTGGCTGTGAAACAAGTCTGACTAAAAGTGAAGGAGAGAGAAAAGGATGGTTGAGTGGAAGCACACTAGTCCCATCCTGTCTAAGGAAGGTTTACCAAGGACTCCAAGGTATCCTGCACTAAAATTGGCTGTTGGAGAAGCCGTATGTCTTCCTATGTTGGAATTGCTTTAGTAATTATCTACACTCAGTCACTGGGGGAAGTAAGGGCAGATGCAGAACTAGAGTTTAGGCAAAGCAGCAGTTGACCTTAATCAACCAAGCTTCCTATACTTGAAGCTATGGAGGGACTCATGGCTATCACAGATAATTATCATGAAGATGATTTGACAAATTCCAAATACAGTAACTGAAACAACATCTGCATCACAGTTATGCATTATCCACTTAGTTTACTAATCATCATCATTATTAATACTTAATAGAAGTGCCACATGTGCAATATGCCTGGAATGTTGAGAAAGTGAATAGTAATGTAACAATGCTACATAGGATTAAATTTTACTTGATTCATTCAAGTTGGAGAACATTACACATTAAAAACATAAATGTAGTTTTCCTTCTACTATTTTTATTGGTGTGTGTGTGTGTATTTCTAAATCCTAAATGGATACTAGAAAACCTAACTCTGAACTCCTCTGTTGCAGCACAAAGAAGTAGATTCAAATTTGTTTTATTAACATTATTATATTTGTCATATCCAGTTGATATTATCAATTTCAAAGGATTCTGTTATTTAATATAAGTTGGAGGACTTAGCAATTGCTTGGTTCACTTTTTAAAATTGGTCATTGGGAGTATATAATCTTAGAACCGAATATTCCTTAAAGGTTCTTTCATATGGCAATATTCTGAACAGTGTAAATTCCTTTAATCTTTCAAAGATTTTTCCATTACTGAAGAAAATTCAGAAGGAGAATATTAATAGTTGTGACACTCTGCACAAATAGTGGGAAGGGGCCAGGCATGGTGGTGCTCACCTATAATCCCAGCAACTCTGGAGGCTAAGCAAGAAGACCACAATTTTGAGGTCCGCCTTCTTAACTTAGAGCCTTTCTCAAAAGATGGCAAAAAATAGCTGGGGTTATAGCTCAATGGGGGAGTGTCTCTAGATTCAATTCCTGGTACTTGAAAACAAGAAAAAAAAAGTGGGAAAGAAAATTACATTAAATTAATATGAACATTCTTATTGAAAAGTTTCTGAGTCTATGTTATTATATGAATGTAAGCATACAGATTACTCAGAGGACATTCTTACACCTATCTTGAGAGTGTGACTCCTTACATTCCTGCATTTGTGACTCAACTTTGTAGACAGAAGCCTAGTTATTCTTCTCAGTATGGATTGCTTATGAGCCTTTGCCCTTTTTCCTGCCAGTATGTTATCCTCTGCTCTGGAGTTCTCATTAAGCACACCATGTAAGACCCATTCCTACATTATTACTTAAAGTGATACTTAAGTTCTAACTTCTCCTTGATATTTTGTCAAGTGTCTTTGCCCTGAAGGGCTTCTCCATTGCCGCAGTCTGGCTGGGCACAAAATCACGAGCCACTCAAGCAGGAACAAACTTTATTTTTGAAACTGCCGCCAATGCCCCGTATGTGCCCAGGAAGATTGCCGATCCACACATGGGCATTCTCCCAGAACCCCAGAGGAAGTTCCTCCCCCGGAATTCCCTCCTACTGCACTTCCCCAACCAATGGGAACTCTCCAGGAGTCCCATAGCAGGCTGAGGTGAACAGCAGGAGTCCAATATCCATGTGAATGCATATCTTAACATAATCATATCATCTCAATGGCTAGCTGGTGTCACCTTTCAACCAAAAATGCCATGCATCATATTACTTGGCTGTGGCTCTTAGCACTCCATGTTCCAAATGCCCATGGTGTGTGTTATCCTACCTCACACACTGTTAAGAAAATCTGAAAAAATACCTGTCAAGAAGCGAATGAAAGAAGGACACACACACACACACACACACATACACACACAGTGCAGGGGCAAGAAAGCAAGTGGCTGCTACTCCCAGCAGCTGCCTTTATTATCTCAAAAGTTACATAGCTCCCGTTACCATGACTACATGCTAACTAGTATTCCTTTAACCCTGAGAGCTAGCTAACTGAGATAAGGTCTAGGTTAGTACATATAATACAAAGCCCCTTCTCTCCAACGACAACATCATAGAAACTAGATAGTGCACCTGCATATTTATCTTAATAGCTTCAAGGGGAAACTGCTGGGCATTCCACGCATGGCATCAACAGGGCCCCAATTCCCCCCTCAGGAGTTTGCTCACTGGGGGAATGCTTCCCTGTATATTTCCACAGTCAGAATACCTACAACACATAGCTTATAGGGTTCCTCTCAGCTGTTCCCACAGTGTGGCATTTAAACTGTTCACTTGTCTTTGGGCTCAGCTATCCTGTTCAGAAAACAAGGGCATTTGTAGGGCTGCAATCTATTAGGTATTCTTAAATTATAGTAAAATGTAATGAATGAATTAATGTGTAAATGAATGGCTTAATTAATAAATTCCTACGTGAGTAAGGAGCATTTGAGGACAAGAATTATGCCATTTTATAATCCCAGCCAACTAGTATAGAACTTTGACTATAGAAGGCATTTAATACTTCTTTGAAATTGATGAATTTAAATATTTTTATGAATACTAAGTTGACATTATATTATTGTCATTTTGGGAAGGTAGTGAACTTTCAAAAGGCTTTCATTGCCAAGGAAATCGTCCTTTTACATACAAATGAATTTTGGTAAAAGAAAATTGTTCTTCTACTTACAAAAGATTTTGCAGAACTTTGGTTGATTTTAAAGTTAATGATTTTGACTTGTCCAGTTAAATATATATAAATTTAACAATATTATCAGGACTTATTTAAATGCTGTATAAAGTAGAATAAAATTACCCAGGTAATATGGATACAGATGTATATGTAATTCACAAAGAATTGGTAACAAAGTCCGATGAATATTGATTATTACCAGAATATTAATAAATATCATTATAAAATAAGTATATTTGGTTGGGTCTTGGAAGACAAAAATGTTAGTGTTAGAAGAGTCTATATTTTCAGTATAAATATTTTACCTGGAAAAGCATTGCAGCTGTACTGGATTATGTTCCAAGAAAAAATACTTTGGTGTATGTTCATCAAGGAGGAGATTCTGAACTTGAATTAGTTCAAGTAGTTGGGGTAGATAATACTCAGCAGTTTACTAAGTCATGTGTCTTTCATTTTCTACTTTTTTAGCTATACTCAGCATGTGGTTGGAAATGGAATCAAGGCCCAATCTGGGAATCCTGAAGTCAAAGTCAAAGGAATTGATCCTGTGATAAATCAGATAATTGATAAGCTGAAGCATATAATTCAGGTAAGGAGATCCTGTATATACAGGCTTGGTTTATTGACAGTAAGTAATAAATATTACTTTATATTATATTTAATAATTTTATTAATTGTATCTGATAGTCCTACCTAAAAATGGGTACTGAAATCACTTATTTCTATCTGGAGGTTTAGAAATACTTGGTTGAGTGGTTGTCATATAGTCAATGTATAGTGGTGTTTTTATGAGTAGACAGTCTGTACCTGTGAAAAGCAAGCTGTTGCTTCAACATTTTAAGAATGAGAAAATATTTCATCCTCCACAAGTAAGTGTCAATCAGAGGTACAACAGTTGCCACTGAAGAAACACATCAGAGAAGAGAAAATGTCAGCATTACATTCTAGGTAACTCTTTACCTTGGTGTGAAAATATTTGCTGTATTCTCAACAAGACATAAGCCATAAATGAATAATCACATCTCTAGTATTTATTTCTTATATCATTTTGTACATGCTATTTTATAATTGACTTAATAGTTTTTAGCAAATACATTTTTATTTTTAATAATACTTCTGTTTTATATTTAATAATATTATTTAATCAAGTGAATATATACTGCTATTTTTAATACATAACATAAGAAGGATGAATATAACCCGGCAAAAGACTATTATATTGAAATAATCTGTAAATTGGGACAAAATATTTCGTTACATGTTGCAGTTACCACCTCCTATGACAACTGGTTTTGGGGGTAAGAAGAACTATTTTTTAGTTATTAGTCATTTCATAAAAAATTATGTATGTGCATGTTGATACACACACATACACATATATTTATTTTTAAGCAAAATTTTTATGGATAGATGATGCTGATTTTTGGTATTGTCTGTCAGAAAATATATCTAAATAGTACTGAATCCACATATAGCATATTCCAAAATCACTGGTCTGAGTTTCATAATTGCTCTGTAGAGCTTAAGTTAATGCAGGTCTAGTTGATAGGACCCTATTTTCATAATAGGGCCCAGATTTCATTTGCACTATCCATTACAGTAATAGTTACCCTGTTTATTCTAGTGCATGTATTGGGAAAGCATAGCTCTCAGTTTGGGTAGTGAACCAAAAGGAAGTTCCATTGAGAATAGGGTTGAGAATAGGGTAAAAAAAAAGAGAATGGCACCAGAACCACCAGTGAGTAAGCCTCACAGCCTCTAGTGAGTTGAACTGATTCCCTGGAAGGGAAGCCTCCAGGGTAAAGTAGGTGCCTTATGCTGCTAGTGGGCCAACCACTGAGGCATTTCTTGGAGATGAGCAGCCTTAGGTTGAGTCAAGAGCTCAAGTGACAGGGAAGGAGTGGTCAGAGTGAGCTATGGAAGCTGCAGCTGGATGGCTGAGGTCAAAAGGAGAGAGCCTCTTATCCTCAGAAACAATTACATTCCATCCATCAGTGAAAATCATTCATGCCTCAGAAGAAGTCATTGTCATTGCCACATTTTCTCTTATTTGGAATGTATTTTAGAAAATTTTCAGAAGAAAAACAGTACTTCTAGGGGAAACTGATGTAGACTCAGTGAGAAAAGAATGAGGCTTCATGACACTTATAATATTACTTTAATTCTTGACTTTCCAGTGGTTCAATAAACAATATATTGGGAATTAGATATTTAAGCAAAATAGATTTCTCGTATATGCTGGTGTACTCTTGTGTTTCCTGGAGTTCTCCAGGAAAAAAGACTGCAGGATAGGAATTTGTGGCCAAGCACCCCTTCAATCTGTAAGGAACTGGGAGGTGTAGGACTGTGCAGAAGAAGGAACAGGATTGGGCTGCAGTTGGAACTGAAGCCTCATCTGAACCCAACAGGAATTCTGGCTAGGAGGGCCTTTTCACACTATCTTATTGTGAAACCAATAGGCATGTTTCCATTCCCCTGACCCACCATCATTGGCCAGTGCTTCTAGGGTAGAGGTGGACATGTTAGCTCAGCTGAGTGAACAGCAGCCAGTACTCCCACCTGCAGCTGGAGGAATAATAACCGTGGTCAAGGCAGTATTTCATCACAACATTTAGTAAGAGATGGCACATAGATGTAGGTTAATTGAAACCACTGTGCACAATTGATAGTATAATCAAAACAGCTATAATATTAATCAGCTTCTTTTATTGCACATAGCACATTTTTAGTGGCTTTCAAAGTGGACTAAGCATTATTCAGGGAGTGCACAGGATCACCCCCTGATTACAGAAAAAAAGCTTAGAAATTTAGTGTATTTTTATTCTATCTCCTTTTAATTTTAGGGGCATGTAGGAAGATATTAAAATATGTACTATACTAGTGCAATAATGTGTATAATTTGTGAATATGTAAATATCATATAAAGTGTATATTATAAATATACATATTATATGTATTCAAACTCTTTTATGGGATATACATATCCCATATAAGTTTATTCATATATATATCCCATATAATATTTATATTTATATTTATATATTGATATGAATATATTTATATATTCATATCAATATATAAATACACATATCATATGTATTCAAACTGTTGTATGGTATATACATGTCCCAAATAATATTTATGTCTATATTATATTATATAATATATAATACATACTTTATAATATATGTATGAAACAGAATGGAAACCCTGTATAAATAGTGAGGATGGAGCTGCTGTCAGGAAAAATTGTTCAGATATAAGAATACATAGGTATCCAAAATATAAAGGTTTATAAAAGCCCTTTGGAGCAGAGCTTTCTGATTTGCTGACCATTCAGCCTAACATTCCTCCATTTTGTTGAATAGGTTTCAAAGCCGTAGCCTTTTCAAGGTGGCAGAGGGAAATATTTCTACTTTTTCTTTTTTAGTTCATGTGTTAGATTTAGTCCCATTCTTTCATCTTTGTAAGAATGTGCAAAGTTACAATTATTCATGCTTAATTTTTATTCTAGGGTTACTAGAGAATATCAAATACATTGTCAACTTTGAGGTCTACCTTTTTAAAGTCTAGGAGTATGACATGATTGAAAATTAGATTTTTGTAGAGGATAGCACAAAGTTATATCTTGAACAGGTGTCACTAAAATATTAACCTTTGATTCCTTAGAATGTACTCTTTCATAAATCTACTCTCCTGGAGATAAAGAGAAATTTTTGATTCTATCAGACTTCTGACTGCTGATAATGTGTATTGTGCCCTGACCAAGGGAGTGCTGTTGTACTGTGTGGTGGTATACAGGGGCAGTTAGCAGGATCCCCATAGTTTCAACCATGAAAGAGTTCAGAAAATTGCCTTCTGTTAGTGAGAATTTATTAATTTTGAATTAGTGTGGACCAAGGGAAGATATAGACTCAGGGACATATTTCAAAATCAACTTGTAGTTTCAGATGATCCCTTAGTGTTTGGATAGAATTATTTTTATTGTAATGGATGCTAAGTACATCTCTAAATCTATCTTTCCCGATAGAGTTAAAGAAATATTTCTCTTGCCCTTTTTGTCCACATTCCAGTATACGGAAATAAGTCACATTAAGGGAGTGGGTAGAAGCCTGGTGTTGACCAAGAGTTATTAGTCAGGTGGAATGTTACATGGTTCTAGAGACCAAAGTAGCAGTCCTTTAGAAATCTTAGCCAAAGACTGGTGTCCAAGGATGTCCAAAAGAAATAATTTAGTCAAAAGACAATTTATTTAAAGTTTCATGGCTTCCTAGAGAGAGATCATAGCACAAACAACCTTAGTTTTATTTCATCCTTTAGGCAAGTATTATACTGATTATTTTCCCTGAAAACAAAAATGCTGAGAAGATTTTATGTTAATAGAGACCTGTATATTATAACTTGGTCCTCATGGGATGTCTGAAGCACTTCAGTGTTCCCTCACTAAACCTGCAGTTATCTTCTGAATTTAAAACTGGAACCTTCCAGAAAAGACCAGAGTCATGATCCCACTCTTCCACCTGTGATTCTGATAACTTCTTCTGTATCAGACATTGTGTAGCCTCTCAGAGGACTTTCCAATATTTCAAATATTATTATCATTTCAATATTATTTCCAATATTTCAATATTTCCACATTTCAAAGCCTATCCCTGAGGTAGCAATGCTTATATCTTTGATGATCACCTGTGATAAATATGTTGAAACCAACAGCCAGTGAAGAATTCAGTGACATGTAATATTAGCTATTTTAGATGTTTGCATCAGACTGAATTTCCCTTTGATAATATAGACTAGAAAAAAATGCTTTATTCCTCTTAGCATATATGATAAAATGAACAGACCTTTTTAATTCAAATTTGCTTTCCTTAAAAACTTATTTTGAAACTTCTTGTTCATATTGATTATATTTGTTTAAGGTAAATTTGTCAGCAAAAAGTACAATTATGCAGCAGTTAATCCTTAAATAGTAAATAACATTTATAATTTAAAAAAATAATGTTAGCAGTTAAAATCCTAACTGCCAAGCACTATTGGTGGTGCATGCTAATGCTGTACTGCTTAAAATTCATTTATTCACTTTTAATATGAAACATACAAAGTATTATCATCACAATTTTCTATAATCCTTCACTGCACAACTAATAAACATTTTACCATTTTTACAGTAGTAGATTTAAGTAATATTTTATTTCTTCAAAACTCACAATTCTAATACATATAAGGATATTATTTCTATTAAATATTCATTTTATCAGAGCTAAACTTCTTTACAAACATGTTTTCATGTATAAAATAAATTTGATTTTCAAATAAAGGAAATCAATAATTATAACCATTGTTTAAAACCAAAAAAATAACTAGATATTTTATATTACATATTGCAATAATCACAATGTACTGGATTGAGGCAAAGATGAGACTCTTATTTGATGTGGGAAGCCACTGTTCTAACAAGACTCTTTGCCTTTTTTTACTCTGTTCCTAGAATACCAATATGATAGGTAGTAATTTTAGAACTATGACAGATTGAGAAGAAGTTCTAATTTAAATCTCAATGAATAGTTATAAGGATAGTGTTTGCATATA